CCACCTCCCTTTCTCCTTCCTGTGAGCATCCATTTGCCACAGGCCCAGCCCCCTTGGTACCATAATCTTATCTGAAATGTCTTCACATCCTAAGAAGAGCCAGGTGTGGTGGCACACACCAGTATTCCAGCACTTGGGAAGCTGAGGCAGGACTATCACGGTGAGTTTGAGGCCAGACTGTGCTACATGAGACCCTGTTTACAAAAAAACAAAAAACAAAACAAAACCCTAAGGAAATGTTGTCAAATCTGTCTTATAGCAAGGAAGTGGGGGCCCAGGGTGTCACAGCCCTCGGCAGGAGCCCTGCTGTTTGGTGGAGGCAGAAGCTGGTGTGCACCAGGCTGAAGTAGCTTTCCCAGCCTTTTCCTCCTCTGTGGCGTTAAACTGCACTGAGCTTGCCCTGGGATGCCTCCTCACTCATGTCCTTGTGACGTAACAGCCCAGAGCCAGCTTAGCACAGAGACGAACTGAAGCCCACTTAGGAGTTTCAGTTCAGGGCAAGCTCGGGGCTAGGCCGTGACCTGACCAGCTGTCTGTGCTGGTCACAGTGTAGCCTGCCCACACTTCACGGCAGGCCTAGACCTGACCCATTCTGAGGGCTGCCTAATTTGCAAACTGTTCTTTGTTGAATTAAACTCTGCCAAATTTTCTTTTCTTTATTTTTTGTGGGGTTTTTTTGCGGGGGGAGGGATAGCTGGAAATTGAAACCAGGGTTTTTGCACTGAACTACATTCCCAGTTTGTTTGTTTGTTTGTTTGTTTCCGGTACTGGGGATCAAACTCAGGACCTTGCACTTGCCAGGCAGGCGCTGAGCCACTGAGCTAAATCCCCAGCCCTGTTGGTTTGAGACAAGATCTCACTAAGTCTCACTAACTTGAGATCCTTCTGTGTCAACCTCCCACTTTTTTTTTTTTTTTTTTTTGGTACCAGGGATCAAACTTGGGACCTTGCACTTTCAAGGCAGGCAGCAGAACCACTTTGCTAAATCCCCCACCCAACTTCCCACTTTTAATGGCAGGTAAAGCCTACAAAACAATCCACTCAGAAAAGCCTCCTCAGGTAGACAGTGCAATGGAGCACAGAGCACATTCCTTCCAGTGAGGACCAGGCCCTGGCAGGGTTAGTCACCACTGAGAAGCCTCTTCAAGTTCTGATGAGGGAAGGACAGCAGGCCACTCCTGGTGGGTAAGCCATCTCCCTAACTAGAGCCCACCTCCACCTCTAGCCCACCAGGACAGCAGCAACTGGGAGTGTTCACCTTTCTGAAATATTTTGTTGTTGTTTTCTTTTCTCTGGGGGTGTTTTTTGTCTGTCTGTTTGTTTTTTGAGACAAGGTCTCACTGTATAGTCCAGGCTGGGTTTGAATTCACTTCGTACCCCAGGCTGGCCTCAAACTCGAAGTGATCCTCCTGCCTCAGCCTCCCAAGTGCTGGGATTACAAGCATGTGCCACCACACCCAGCAATTCTCAAAGGGCTATAAGCTTTTGATCAGCAGCTTGGGTTTGAACCGCAGACTCGGAGCCCCAGGTGAAGCTGAGGGCTGCAGAAGGGAGATGCCTCCCAGGCAGAAGCACAGAGTTCCTAGGCCAGGGAACTCACGGGGCTGGGATGCCCACATCCCCATCATCACCATTCTGGGCTCCAGGCTGTTCCCAAGCTCTGCCCTGTGGCCCACTGCATCTCCTGCAGCCTATAATCCAAGGTGAGGGCCACTTCCCTGTGGCACAGACAGGCCCATTTGACTGGGGTCAAATGCCACAATGGGCTCCCCATGGCCTGGCATTTGTGACCCAGGGAAGATCCCCAGCTTCATCCTGGCCCCATCTAGGGGCTGAGCAAGTCTCGCCCTCTCCTTTCCATGCAGACCCTGGGTCCCACAGGAGCTGCCATCCTCAGCCATCTGAGACAGTCCCTCCCTCTTGCAGCAGAGTGTGTACTATGGTAACAAAAGCCACTCAGGCAGGGGCGCAGAGAGCAGGCAGCTCCCCACAGCTGCCTGGGACAGCATGGGGCCCCTCCATACCCTCCTGCCAGCTCCTCAGGAGCCCCACCTCCTGTCCCCACCCTAGCAGATGGACAGCTGCCTGAGACATTGTACCTGAGATTCTGCCACCACACGTGCCAGGAGCCCTTGTGGGATAACCCAACAGATTACATCCCCTGCCCTGTGTGACTTACAGACCCAGATGGCTTCACCCCTCGAGTGGGAGAGCCCTGTGGCCATGCGGGCATTGTGCCACCTCCACCCCAGGCAGAGGCCCATCCCTCTCCATGCCCACTCCCTGCCTCCTGCAGGCCGTTAGCAGCTGCTGCCTTGCAGAACGGTGCAGGCTGTTTGCTTGAGGGTGAACAACCAGGTTGGTGGGGGGTGGGGGTGGAAGGGAAGTATGGGCAGCAGGTGGAAGGGGGCATCAGGCAGAAGAGGCTGTGCTGCAGACCCGAGGCCTGATGCAAGAGTGAAGAGGCAGAGCCAGAGCAGCCTCCTTCCTCCTCACCCAGGAAACAGGCCCTGGCTTATCCACTCCATGCTTTTCTGATTCCAGCCATGCAGAGCTTCTCTGTCCTTCCCTGCCACTGCAGAATCCCCAGCAGAATTATTTAGTCTTTCTTATCATATCAGGTGAGGGAGATGAATGTCTAATGAGATAAGGTGAATGGCATGCACAAAATGTCCCTTACCTGTGTGTTTCCCAAGAGGGCACCAGCATTGAATACAGCTGTGGGAACATCAAAGCCAGCCTTGGGCCCCAAGGCCATGCCGAGCTGGTGCCAGACACACACATCAGTCACGTGGCGGGGGGGGGGGGGTGAGACTCCCCAGGTTGATCCTGATGGAGCCAAAGGCATCTAAGGACTACAGGAAACAGACATGGAGGGTCCCTGGGGCAGAAAACAGGAAGGAAGCAGGAAGGCAAGAAAAGTGGACATGATAAGGAGGTGCCCATGTACAAGGCATTAAGAAAGGGGCTTCAGAGACTATGCTGCCTCCCTCAAGAGTTTCCAAAGGGAAGAAATGAGGTCCTGGCCCAGTCACCCATGCTGCCTCCTCCTGAGTGCTGGATACCAAGGAATAGAAGAGCTAATACCTGCCTGGCCCCATGAGAGACCACCCTGAGGAAAGGTCCCTCCCTGCCACCCAGGAGAGGAGAGTCAGGCTCTTCTCCAAAAGGGAGCCCTTCCCTCTGCCAGATGGGAGCCCACATCTGCCCCAAAGGCCCACTCTCAGTTCAGACATCAGTCCCATGCCAAAATGCCACTGCCACTTCCCACCCCAGCTCCAGGATGCCCTCCTGATACCCTCACCCCCAACTCCTCGGGGACAGCAGTGCACAGTTCTGGATGATTCACTCTGGTGTCCTGCGACAAACATGGGAGTTGGGGATAGAGTTGGCCCTTGGAGCCACGGCACCCCCACAGGACAGCAGGGCCTGCAGCCTCCCCCAGCACAGTGCCAGCACTAACCCTACCCAAGGTGCCCCCAGCAAGAGCAGCATGGATGACCAGGTGTGCCCTGTGTCCACAGCTAGCACCAAGCTCTGAGCCAAGGCTGCTGTTGCCAGAGAGAGCCACATGACCCAGGAGAGACCACAGTGTCCACAGGGCCACCCACTGGAGCCACCCCGCCAGGCTGGGCAGAGCAGGCAAGGTGGACCCCAAGACACAGAGTCTGTGGGCAGGGAGCCCAGGGTCGTGGGCATGGCCCAGGGAGAACTGGGAGGGAGGTCAAACCCCAGGATCAGAGGCCCTGCAGGACGGAGGCTCTAAAGAGGCCTCTAGGAGCCACCCTGGGGCCCCCAGTCCTCTACTCTGGCCCTGGGGTCTCAGGGGATGTGTCCCTACCCTAAGGACTTGACCTTACCCCTGGGGGGCTGGAGGGAGGCCCGGGCTCCCCTGAGACCCCTCAAGAGGGTGCAGTGCTTGGGTCAGGAGAGCTATAGGGCATCCAGGTGTTGGGCTGGGGGCAATGCTAAGGGCACCAAGTGTTGCCATCAAGATATTGGGGCAAGGGTCTTGTCCCCACCCAGGGGCCACCTACCCTGTCCTGGCTGTGTACCAGCTTCTATGTGTGCTGGGCCAGATTCAGCAGCTTTCGTGGACAGGGCAGAGGAAACTGTGCAGGACAGTGTGTCCCCAGAATGATCACACCACTGCCCCCTAGAGATGTTGAGGATGAATAACATCAAGTCTAATTTTAGCCAAGTAAATATCCCTCCTGATTCCCACAAGCTCTGGCCTGAGTCTGGCTGACACCTAGGCCAAGGAGGAGCTGGGCTCAAAGGCAGGCAGCTAGGCCAGGCCTGAGCTGTGGGGCAGCAAGTGGAGGTCCTCTGGTCCCTGTCAGAAACTTGGCGACCCAGGGTCTTCTAGAGCACCGAATCAAAGAGCCCTACAGGAAGCAGCTAGGCCCTGGAGAGGGAAAGGCCAGCTGGCAATAGTAACTGGAAGTGACTCTAGCCTGGAAAGTGACCTTGGCTACCAGGACTTCCAGCAGCAGGACAGCAAGAAGAACAGTCCAAGAGGAGCTGAAGGACAGTGGACAATGGCTGAGACATCAGAGAAGTAGCATCCCAGCTAGGTACTGTCTCCTCTGTGAGTCCTGATTTTGGACAAGTTGTAAGGCCAGACAAGAGGCTGGTCCCAGAGTCAGGGAAGGAAGAGCTGGGGCTCAGAGCTCTGCTTCAGGTGGCCCCAGAGAATTCCAGCCCAAGCTGTGACAGTAGAGGAAACTGAGGCTGAGGCAAGTTAAGGGGCCTGACCCAAACCATGAAGCATGGGAACTACCACAGGCTTGACATCAGCCCAACCTCCAATCCAGCTTCTGTGCTGGTCCCCAAGTAGCTGTCTGTTGTTTTATACTGGAGGGCAGTGGCGGGGCAGAAGGCTTTCCCAGCAGGAGGCCAAGGGAGGGAGGCTGCCACTGTTTCCAGAAGACTCACCGTCTCTCCTTCACAGAGCACAGGACAACCTGGGGGAGCTGCCTGGAACAGAGGTACCACCGCAGGGCTGGGGTTACAGCGTCAGAGGCAAATGCCCAGGGAGGACAGGGTGTGAGATGAGCGGTTGGGGAAGTGACACGTGAGCAGAGACTGAATGAGGCTGGGGGCGGCTATGTGGGCACTGCAGGACCAACATGCTAGGCAGAGGGAGCAGCAGAGGCAAACACTGCAGGGAGCCAGGGGCAGCAGAGCCCTGGGCCCAGCAAGCACACTGAGAGGAAGCCAGCAGGGAGAGAGTGGGTACAGCGGTGGAGACATTGGCTACGTGCTGACAGATGTTCTTCCAGAGTCTGCAGGGATGACAACAACCATTTAGCACCACATTCCTGAAATACCTCTTTTGCTTTCCCTGACTTTTGCTAAGTCAAGAAGACAGGTATTGGACTCTCCTGATAAGGATTATCTGAGGGACACTGGGAACTGGGCAAGCTAGTGTTATCTGTCCTAGCGGTCTTCCTGCCAGTTCCCTAAAATGCTGGTCACACAATAGAACAAAGCCAGCCAAGGATGTCTCTGTATTGGAATTTAATACGTAAGCCCCTCCCTGCGCTAAAGGGTCGAAGAACGGAGCAGTACAGGGTGCTGTCATCCAGCAGTTCTCAGTATTTGCTCCTGAGCACTTGCCTGGCTTGTCACCCTGGGACCTCCCCCAAAGTGCTGCTGTTGAGTACACACACCTCAGGAGTTCTCAGAGCAGCTGTTATTGAGCATGCATCCTCGTGGACCTTCTGCATAGTGCTGTTGGACTCCTACTCACTTCTGCGCTTCTCTCCGTGCTTCTGTGGACCCTACCCTACTAGTAAGTATCCATTAACTCATCCTCCCATTAGTGCCTGCTGAGCCGCATCTCTCCCAAGCCATCCCCCTCCCAACAAACTACTTCACTGTCCCAGCATACTTGGGCTGGGGATGAAAGAAGAGTGAAATCCTCTGAAGGGGAGGATGCCTGGCCCCTGGAGGGCAAATGGGATCTGGAATCTGAGCCCCTGTGGCTATGCAGTCGGGGTTCCCAGGGGAGGGGACAGTCAGGGCCATTGGGCACAGACCGACCCCAGGCGCAGGCTTCTGACCCACAGAAGTCAGAAACTCTTGTTTCACACTCGTCCCAGGAACGCTGGGATTGTGGGATTGAGGGAGGGAGGCCCAAGAGCCAGGAAGCCAGGATAGGGCCAGGTGGCTCCTGAGGCCAGTACCCACCTCCCGAAGACTCCATCAGGCAGCAGGAACAGCACAGGTGGCCGGGACGCCCCGAGCCGGACACAATGACTTCTCCTTCCCCTCTTGCCCCTGGAGGGAAACAGTGTCCCTGGCCTGGCGCCTGCAGCTGGGAACCAATGTGAGGCCCATTGTTTGAGAATGGAGCCGGTGGGGGCCGCAGGAAGCCCCCAGCAATACCTTTCGTCCCACTGACGCAGATCCAGGGCACCGAGTGAGGACCGCACGTGTGGACAGCAGCATCCTGCAGGATGAAGGCACTTGAAGCTGTGGTCCTGGCACTGCTACTGTGCGGGCAGCCAGGTGCGGGGTGCCTCTGGTGGGAGGTGGCACAGCCCTGCCCCATGAGGACCTCCAGGGACCCCCCCCCCAGCCTGGGACAAGGAATGGGCTTGGGAAGGAGAGGATGAGGCTGGATTCCCCAGCCCCAGGGAGGTGGATGAGGCTGTCCTGGGCTCCCAGCATAATTGTGGTCCCAATCTCAGACTTAGCCATTCCAACCCTGCGGAGCATCAGGATCCCTGCCCTCTCCTGGCCTCAGTTTCTCCTTCTGTGAAATGGGCCGGCCTTAGAGACAAAGGTGGACAGAGGAGTGGGAGGCTTGGCGCTCTGCACTGAGTGCGAGCCCTCTGTACCTGGGCAGCTGAAGTTTACATGTGTCCCTGTATGGCCAGGCAGCAGGCAGGCACAGGAGGAGGAGGAGGAGGATGACAGGAGGCCGGAGAGCTATGGGTATGATGAGGAGGAGGAGGAAGAAGAGGAGGAAACCAACATGATCACCGGCAGCAGAGACAGAGGTACCCACCCACCCTCACACCCATCCACAGGCTGCTGGGCTTTCTGCTGGCCTCAGGCAAAGACGAAGTCGATCTGCTAGTACTCGGACCACGTGGCCTCCCCCACACCCCATGCCCTCACCCCGCTGGCTCTCCCCCAGCCACCCTTGGCCCCAGCCTGCTCCCAACCCGCATGGTATTGCCTTGGGTCCTCATCTGCAAGGCTTAGTCAGACTCCCTCCTGGGTCTTCACTGCCCACAGCAGGGAGCTTAGACAGGGCCACCAAGCAAGTGACAAGAAATGAGCAGAAAGTTCCCCCGTGGCCCTGTCCTAACTACTTCCTCCAAAAGCACCCAGCCTAAGGTCCTGCAGGGCAGGGTCTGAGGACATCTAAGAAGGCAGGCAAACAGGGACCTGGCAAGGAAGGCACTGAGGGCTGTTCTCAGCCTGATCCTGGCCTGGCCTCACCCCACAGCACTGCAGTGCTATGCCTGCCCCTTGCTACACCATGGGGAGAGCTGTGACCAGATGCAGAGCTGCTCCGGCAGTCGGGCCTCCTGCATCATGCTTGTTACCCACGGCAACACAGGTGAGTGGATGAAGCCCGGCACACATGCGCCAGAGGCTCCCCTCTGTGCCCCAACCTGTCTCAGCACCTGTATCCACCTCCCCCCCAGATTCTGGTCTCCTGACCACCTACTCCATGTGGTGCACGGACTCCTGCCAACCCATCATCAAGACGGTGGAGGGAACCCAGATGACCGAAACTTGCTGCCAATCTCCCATGTGTAATGTCCCACCCTGGCAGCACCCCCAAGTCCAGGATCCACTGAATGGCAAAGCGGGCAGTCCCCAGGACAGCAGGGCTGGTCATCCCCAGTCCAATGGGTCATGTTCCCTCTCAAGCTGCCCCCAACATGTGAGCACAGCCCTCCTACTCAGCCTCCTCACTAGCCTTTTGGCAGTCAGGGCCTGAGGACACCTCCCTGCCCCTCACACCTGACCGGGCCAGCAGTCTGTCCAGTGTTTCCCCTTACCCTATCACCAGCTTCAGAGAATTAAATTTGGAGTTTCTTTCATGATCCAGCCAACTCTGGACCTCCTTGGATCTGGGCCTTGAGTATCTGCGTCCCTAGGACCTATGACCTCCAGGAGTGTCCACCAGCTCAGCCTCAGGCAGAGATGACACTGTAGGCCTGGGGAACCCCATCTTCACCCTTAACTTCCCAGCATGAAATTCCTCCAAACCCAGCTGCCAGGTCAAGTGGCAGCCCCCCACCCTGTCTGAAGGAACAAGGCTTTGCGGGTACATTGTTGTTGGTTTTTTAAACAGTCTCACTAGGTTTCCCAGCCTGGGCTCAAACATGTGATCCTCCTGCCTTAGCCTGAGTAGCTGAGATCACGGGGTACACCTCTGTGCCCAGCTTGGGAAGAAGCTCTGGAGGGAAAAGAGCCCCTGGGAGGCTACAGGGGCAGGTGAAGCAAGGGGAGAACAGGAGCTAATGAGGAACAAGGACAGAAAGGGAAGGAGGAAGGTACCGCTATAGTCTCATTCGGCCCTCTGAACTCCTCCCTTCCCCGAGCTGGGTGGGTGTCGGGGAGCAGTGTAGAAGTGTGACAGTCAATTCCATACTGCGGAGGGGCGGAAAGGGCCTCTGGCTCCTGCCCTGCCTGCATCTCTTCTGCTGGGCTGGTCCACAGGCTGCTGGGCACTCTGCCTCCTTGACTGTACCAAGCTCTGCTTCACCAGCAGCTGGTGATAGGACAGACTGGGATGAGAGGAAGACAAGCTCAGCCTGGGCCACCGCTCACCACTGACTGGGCCTCAGTTTCCCAATTTAGCAGTAAGGACAGAGGTTTAAAGGACTCCTAGATTCCCACTTGCTCAACTTGGTTGGCTTTGGAAGGTCCCAAGTCCATTCCATCATGTAATGTGTGGCCTCCATCTGTCCACTCTCTCCGTTTCCTTATCAATAAAGCCTCAGTGCCTAACGGGGGTAGGGAGCAAAGTCCTTGGGTGAAGGTGGCATCTTATTACTCCTCCCTGCTGGCCACTTACACCATGAGGCAGCACACTGATTATGACAAGGCAACGTGGAGTAAGGGCCCTAACCACTGATGACCAGAAGGCATATACCAGCTCTACACTCCTACCTCAGGATCTGCTTACTTTGGAGGGAAATCAACTTCTACCATGTTGAAGCCAACTATTTTGGTTTCTGTTGCCTGCATTTTCACACATGCACACACTGTCCCACACCCACACAGCCCCCACTGATACACAGCTCAGAGGTCAGACTGCCTGGGCTGAAATCTTAGGCCCACCCCTCAGCAGCTTTGTGGCCTCCGGGAACCTCTTCTCCTCCAGCTCCACCCTCTTGCCAGCCTGGTACAGATTTCACAGAGGGGCTTCCAGCCCTGTGAGTGGTCAGTGCCTCTGGTGCTGTCACATTTATCATGACCCTACTCTGAGTGCATGTTTGCAAGAATACCCACCTGTGTGAGCCCAAGCTTCTTAGGACCCAAGAAACCTCACTAGCCATGTCTGACTAGAAACTGCACACTATTACCTGTGTTCATGAAATTGTTCCTCAGAAGAGCTGTCTTAAAGCCATGTGCAGATCCAAGGGGACAGTCTCCCATAACCCTCAACCTCTACTCTTTCTGAGTCTCATGAGAAGGGAGCTGGGGCTCAGGGCTCAGTCTGAAGTCACTGGCTCCAAGGCCTGCCCTGGCCTTGGCCTCCTGCCTCTATGACAGTCTCTTCTCCCAGGATCTGCACTCTACTCCCAGGAGAAGCAAAGGTGCAGCTGACTCCTCGTTGGGCTCTGACCTGATCTCCCCTCCTGAAGGAAGAGAGCAAGCAGCCACACTCTGAGAACCCCAGCGCCATCTACCAGGAACCATCCCAAACACAGTCTTAGCTGCCCCACAGAGCTTGCTGTCCCGGCACCCAGAGGGTATTGCTGTGCTGTCCAACATGGGCACAGTTGGGGTCACCGACAAGAGACAAGAGAGACATTCAAGGTCACACACTGAGCAGCTGCAGCTTCAGGATCAAGCCCAGCACTTCCTGTCAACCGCGAGCATTCCAGGCCACAAGACTGAGGCACCAGGAGGCCTGAGCTGCTACAGCAGAGGTGGGGGACCGGATGCTGGCCAAGGCCACTGAATCCCATAGTCCGGGCCAGGTGGGGCAGAGGTGCCAGTGGATGGTGGCAGCCCAGGCCCTTAATGACAGCCACAGCAGGACACCAGCTGCAGTAAAAAGGTTGTGTGGAGCCCATCATTCCTCATCCAGCTGGGCAGCAGAGGACTGAGAGAGGCTAGACCCTGGCCACAGGATCCATGCTGTCTGCCTCAGCTCCCCACGGCTCCCACAGCAAATTACCACCGACCCAGCAATTTCAAACAATACAAGTTTGTGCCACAGTGCTGGAGGTCAGTGATGTTATGGTTTGGATTTCAAATGTCCCTCAAAGGCCTGGACACAGCCTGTGGCATTATTGGGAAATACAGGAATCTTTAAGAAATGAGGCCTTGCAGAAGGGCCCTTGACATTCATTCTTTCTTTTTCTTTCTCTCTCTCTCTTCTCTCTCTCTCTCCCCCTCCTTCCCTCCCTCACAAAGTGAGGAGACCTGGCCTGCCCTCTGAAAAGTGAGCAGACCTCCACCACACACTTCCACCATGATGTGCTGCCTTGTCACAGCCCAAAGGCAATAGGACCAAGTGGCCATCACCTGGAACCTCTGAGGCCATGAGCCAAAAGAGCCCCTTCCTCCTTCTGAGTTGAACCAGCCTTCTGGGCAGGGAGACCTACTCATCCCTCCTCCAAGGGGCAAGTGGGACATGAGAAGATGGCCCTGCAACTGCCCACATCCCCCGGAGCCTGCCCTGGCTAAGGTTCTGAGCTCTCCCTAATCAGGTCACTCACTGCCCAGTCATAGAGGAGCTAGAGAGGGACGTGGGATGGCAGAGGTCCTAAGGCCTAAAGGGTAGGCTTTGTAGGCTGAGGCCACAGAAGCCTGGTGCTCCTAGGGACGGATGGGTACCAGCTGGAGGGTTGGAAAGGACCCTGAGGTGACCTCAAGGCTTCAGGAGAAGGCCCACGAGGGCCAGAGAACACCTCACCTGCCTCTTCTGGGCCTCGTTTTTCTCTTCTGTAGAACCTGAGGTTGGCTAGGAGCTCACTGGAAGAGACCTAGCCAGACCAGCAACATGAGGTGGGGCAGGGGTACAGAGATGTGGCCAGAACCAAAGCTTTGCACCTGGTCACCATGATAGACACCCATCTGGGAAAACAGCCTTTTCCCAAGGGTCATGGCCAAGCTTCGGCTAGGGACATGGTCAGACCCCAGCCCAGAATCTCAGGACACCTTGGCCAGGGGACAGGGCCACAAGTACAAGAGCCTGTGAGATCCAGTCCTCCCTCTGTAGAGCATCACAGGAGCACAGGCTGGGTGGGAGTCACACCTCATAATGGAGGTGCTGCCAGCCTCCTTTCCCACAGCCTCTGTTCCTTGGCTTCCATCCTGCTCCCTGTGCAGTTGAGCACTTGGCCCATGTCAGTGTCCAGCAGCCATTTATGGACACTCCAGGTCCAGTGCAGGAGGTACCCCGGAACCCTCAGCTTTGCTATGTGTATCCCTAGTTTGCCTGGCTGGTATAAAAATATCAGGCATCCCAGCCTAGAGCAGGACCAGAGCCTGGGCTCTTCAGCTCTCCCTTTTCCTGGGCAGCTTCAGGACTCTGGGGGACCTGCCCAGTGCTGCTACCTAAATCCTCACTCCAGAACCTCCAGCACTTCCACCTACTTGTGACAGGAGATGAGTGGTGGCGGAGATCCCCTGCCCTGTGCTGTCACTGCCCCTGAGCACTTAGGTTCAGGGCTGCCATGATGGTGAGGTACAAAAGTGAGCTGGTGAAATACTCACCCTTCCTCCTCTCACCCCATTGCTGCCAGTGCCACGTTTGGGGGTCACATTATGGGCTGAGACTTCTCCCCCTGTGAGAGGCCCTAGAAGAGGAAACAAGGTTGTGCCGGTCCAAGCAGGGCTCCAGGGCTTGGGTGGGGTCAACAGAGACAACCCCTGGAGTGCCTTCCCAGAAGCTAGCCCAGCTAGTCCACAGGAGACCCAGATGAGGGGTGCTGAAGGTCTGGCCTTTTGCAGAAGAAGGACGTATGCCCCACATTATGACTGAAGAATCCCCAGCCTTTCCTTTCCTGTCTGCTGACTGTGACTGGCTCCATCATCACATGCTCATTTAGCTAATGCATGCACTCACCTCCACCAGGGTCAGGCCCAGCATGGGGACCCAGGCAGAACCCAGTCTTCTGAGGTGTGGTGACAAGGAGGGACACATGTGTCCCAGAAGCCAGTGGTACCCAGAAGGGGAAAGATCCCAGGCTGCAGACCAGTCTCTGGGTGGTGGCCTGGGTGCAAGCCCAGAGGACACTGTTCCTTCCTCACTGGGGCCACCATGACAAGCTGGGATAGTTGGGGGGGGGGGCCTGGCCTAGCTCTAGGGAGTCAAAAGAGGGTCCAGTCCAGCAGGCAGACCCTCCTTGGGTCCCAGGTCCAGGTAGATGTACCCCCTGCAGTTTCTGAGGGTGCCCCTCCCCAGGTCAAATGTGTCCTATGTGTTCACACCATTCCAGGGTCAGTTTCTTCTAACCCTGGCCCGGCTGAAAAGTGACAGAGCCCAGGGACTTGATTTATCTAAGGCTTTCCTATAAATTTCCTGCCTCTCAGGACAGGAAGCAGCTGTCCACAATCCACTTCCTGCTCCTTACTCTAGATTGTGAGAACTTGCTGAGGAGCAGGTACCGTCCCCAGAGCAGGAAATTCCCGAGGAAGGCACCTCATCATCAGTGCCCTCCTGAGACCACCAGGGCTTACAGAAGCCAGGAGACATGGGGACAGGCCAGTGCTGCTAGAAGCAGAGCAGGGCCACTTCTGTACCTAGGTCCCTGACACCAAGGGCCGCTACAGGAACTCTCCAGGACTGAGATGTCACCAGCTCAGTACTGTGGAAGACAACACCTCCTCCAGCTGACCTCAGGTGGTGCATCAAAGGGCTCTTACCCATCAGACTGACAGGGTCAGGGACATAGAAGTCTGACTGATTGAGAGGTGTTTTTGTTTTGTTTTGTTTTGTTTTTGCTTTTGTTTTTGCTTTGTTTCTGACATCAGGAATTTCTCTGGGGCAGAGGCACCTGGGAGGAATCATCTTGGTATCTCAGGTGCTCACCCAAGAAAACTCTGACCATGTGAGCAAACCTTGGCCACAGTTCCAACTGGGGAATCCCCCAGGGAAGTCCACAGAGAAATAGAAAATACTCCAAAATAGATTCTCTGCAAAAGACCTAGTGAAGAAACACAGACAAACCAGAGTAGGGGAACATCTGCAAACCACACATGGGACAAAGAATTGTGTCTGCAACCCATCCACCACCCATCCCCGAACTTAACAGAAGTTGGGCAAGGCCAAAATAAAAAAATAGTGACCACATCAAATCCTGGCGAGGATGCAGAGAAACCAGGTCATTGGCACACTGCTGGTAGGGATCCAAAATGGTGCAATTGCTCTGGAAAACAGAGTAGCTGATTCTTACAAAACTGAACAGGCAACCAGATGTGATGGTACATGCCTGTAATCCCAGCACTCTGGGAAGCTGAGGCAGGAGGATTGCAAGTTTATGCCCAGCCTGGACAATTTAGTGACAATCTTTCTTAAGGGGGGGGGGGGGTAGCTCAGTGTGAAGGCCCTGGATTCAACCCTCAATAGGACCGGGAGAGGAGGAGAAGGGAGGGGAGGAGAGGGGAGGGGAGAGCAAGAGAAAAAAGGCAGGAGTCTGAGAATCCAGCTGGAGGAGGGGTGGACCTCACTGGACACAATGCTGAGAAGGTGCTCTTGGAAGGAGTAAGGCAGGCTTTCCCAGGGTTGTTTCCCTGAGCACCGGATGCTTACTAGGGAAAGGCCCTGCCCTTCCTTCGGTGTACTGGGACCTGCAGAAGGGTCGCCTGGCCTCTACTGACTAGCTCGGGGGCCCTCCTGTCTCCTGGAGATGGGAAGTCTTCCCTCATATCTCAGGATCTAGGCCAAAGTGACCCAGGAATGGCAAAATTTGGGAAATCAGACTGCAGGCTAAGTCGGCAGGCAAGAAAGAATTCAGTGTTTAAGCTCTGTATCAGACAGTTTCCATTACTGTAATAATGCAAATGCCTAAGGCTGGAACTTTATGAAGAAGAGAAGTTCAGTTCACAGTTCTGGAGGCAGAAAGCCCACGCAGCATAGAAAGGGGTAGGAGGGCAGGGATTTAGCTCACCGGTTTCGCTGCCTGCTGCGCAAGCGCAAGGACCCGAGTTCGATCCCCGGTACCAAAAAAAAAAAAAAAAAAGAAAGAGAGAAAGAAAGGGGTAGGAAAAGAAGGGGGAACTCCAGATAGAGGGGCGGTGCCAAAGGGGGAACTGAGTTTGGCCTTCGAGGCCACGAAGAGGCAATGGTTCCAGGAGACGGCGAGAGAACTCATGGATGAGGGCAGGAGATGCGACGCGCCGCACTGCCGGGCGCTGATGGCTCGCTGAGGATAAACAGAGATCAGGACACTGAATGGGACTTGGCAGACAGCGACACCTCTCGGGAGCAGGCAAAGCCTGGAACCCGCAGAAGTGCAACCCCAAGGTTAGCGAGTCAGCCGACCCGCCTGACCGACAGACCGATAAACCCACAGCTGCCCCGTCGCTAAGTCCCGCTGGGTTAGAGGCGCGCCACCACCGAGAGTTGGGGTGGTGGCTCCTAGAGTGGCGCCGGAAGGGGCGGGGCAGAGATGGGGGCGGGGCCATCTCGGGGCGGGGCCGGGGCGCCGCAACAGCGTGAGGCCCGGCCACAGCTCCTAGAGCAGTGCCGGAAGGGGCGGGCCTTCCTGTGTGCCCCGCCTGCCGCTGGTGAGGCAGGAGCGGCGGGTTACGGTGAAGCGGGAGTCTTTCTGCCGCCTGCCGGCCCGCCCCCGGCGGTGCTCGGCCAGGCGTCTGCGCCTCGGGGCGGAGGCGCTCTTGACCCCTGGTCTCCACCAGGTACTTCCTGCGTTCGTTAGCGCTCCGCGTCTCTGGGACGCGCGGTCCCGCGGAAGCGCCCCGGGGCCGGGCTGTCTGGGCGCCAGCGTTGGGAGGCCTGCTTGCTTCCCCACCACGACTCCTCCACCTGGGCGAAGGCCTGTCTCGGGTCTGGGCGTGGGCCGGTAGCCACTCTGGGCCCACCCCCGGAGGGTCCAGTTTCCTAGTGTAGATTCCCGAGGGCCGGGCGGGAAGGGGGCGAGCTTCCCAGGAGGGCTGGCCTACTGATTGATGCCAGGAGCTCTGGACCACAAGCCAGAGGCTTCACCCACAGAGGTGTAGGAGCAACCTTGAAGTTGCACAGCAAGGCGGGAACCCTGGCTGTTAGGCCAGCGGGGACTGAGCTGTCTTATATTACTAGCGTTCTCGAGGCCTGTGAAGTGAGAGGGCCAAGAACACGATCGTTATGATATACACCGTTTATAAAAATTATTTCATTTTTCAGTGTGCACAGCCCCTGCCTTAGGGCCTGCCAGCTCGAGTTGGGCAGAGAAGACTGTTACAAAGTGGGTTTCCTGAGCTCCACGTGTGACAGGGTCAGGGACATGCAAAGATAGTTCTGCCCTCAGGAACCTTACCTCATAAGGAGACCGGCCTGTGTGGGACCAGCCACACGGGGAGTGACAAGTGCTCTAGTGGAGGAAGCAGTGCTGTGGTACCACAGGACCCCACAGTGGCCCCAGACTAGCAGGTGTCAGGGCTAGTAGGTTCCTCCCAAGTGGACTCAACATAGGGACACTGTGACTTCACTTCCTGCCTTGGAGAGCTCAGCCCACCAGGTGGGGCACAAGTGTAGACTGCCCTTTTGTAATGGCTCTTGGTTTTACCTATTTTCTACTAAAGCTAGATCTTAGCCTCTGGAGTGGGGACCAGTTACAATGGTGCATCCTGTAATCATAGCTATTCTGAAAGCTGAGCCAGGAGGATCACAAGTTCAGGTTGGGCAACTCAAAGTAAAAAGTTAAAACTCAGTGTTCCCTGGCTTCAATCCCCAGTACTAGAGGGTGCGAGAGTGGCTATGTAAGCCTTTGCCGTAGATGGCATAGCACCCCCTTCCCTCCTCAGCATAGATGTTGCCTTGTTCCTGCAGCCTCCCCCAGCCCAGGTACCCACCTTTCACCTTCAGATCTGGCCTCCACCTGCCACTGAGAACTACCTCTTCTCAGAAGCCACCTCCAGGTAGTGCCCTTGGAAAATGATGTTGGCCTGACTCCAAATCAAGCTTGTCTAAATGTTTTCATAGAAGAAAGATTACATTCTCAGACTCCTGTAAGATAGCAGATGTGTACAGTCATGCCAAGCATCTCTTCATGGAGATTTTAGAATGCTTATATGCTGTATGTGTCACTTGGAAGAGGTTTCACCTCTATTTCCTGCCTAGGATAGACCCCATCCTCAGACTCCAGTTTGGTTGACCAAGAACCAATACAAGGTGGAATATTGTTATGTAAAGCACTATATTTTAGGATAAGAGCTAGCAGAATTCTGGGCCTCTGAGTGAGCAAGAGTCCTAGGTCATGGACTCTTTGCTAAGCATCTGCAAGAACAATTCAAGTAGTAGACCCAGTCTGCTGTGCTCAGATCTTCAAGGGGCATTGTATGACTCCAGATCTTTTGGGGAATTCTTTCACCAGTAGTTTTTTAAAGGTCCTGAAATTTGTTGGTGTCTTATAAAGGAATCTGTTAGTTAACACTGAAAGAGAAGCAGGTTAGGGAAGCTCAGAAAAAATAGAGCAGAGTTATCTTAATTTATGTTTTTGCAGTGCTGAGCATTGAACCCAGGACCTAGTGCACTCTGTTATTGAGCTACACCCCCAGCCCCTGGAGTGGAATTCTTAATAAATGAAACACAAACCATGCAACTGCTGTTCTAGAAACCTGGGCCTGTCATTTGTCACTGGGGTTAACTGGTTCTTCTTGAACGGATACCAAGATTGAGATGCTGTCAAATGAACTTACAGACAGGAAGTATCAAATCTTCCCCTCCTCCATGAGCGGCACTTAAGAAAGATATTTGCGTAGGAAAACCTTCAGACAAAGCCAGCAGAGGCCTAGTTGAGTTACTCAGGGAGGTTTGGCTCTAAATCCAAATGATAACCTCAGCAGCTCAGCCAGGAAGGCAGTGAAATCAGCCCAAGCAAGACTGACTGCCACTCCCTCCCATGCCTTGTCGGGTGGCAATGAAGATTAGTTATACAGATACTTGGAACAGAAGATGTGCTCCTAAAGTGACAGTTAACTGTTTTGATTTTTAAGTCATTCAGCAATTATTTAATGAGGTACCTGCATGTTCCAAGAGTTGCCACAAAGCACTGGGAAAGATAGCACATGAGCCAAAAAAAAAAAAAAAAGGACCATATATACTCATAAAGTAAGACAATCTGGGCCTGATTGCACACCCCTGTAATCCCAGCTACTTGACAGGCTGAGGCAGGAGGATAGAGAATTTAGGGCCAGCCTGGGCAATTCAGTGACAATTTGTCTCAAAAAATAAAAAGGGCTGAGGATGTAACTCAGTAGTGTGCCCTTGGGTTTGATCCCCTGCACTGGAAAATATAAAAAAAGAGAGAGGTTTAGCCGTGTAAATAAGGAGAAAAGTGGAACAAGCTAAGGGAGGAAGTGTGTAGGACTGATAGGGGCCATCAGAGTACATCCCTGCAGGGCTGGGGCCAGCTGCATGCAGACCTCAGGAAGTAGGAAAGATGGTGCATGTTTGGGGGGCCTAAAGCCAGCCAGGATGAGGAGGGGAGGGAGAGGGCTGAGGTATATTGGGCTTGTCAGTATGAGGGGAAACCCTTAGGGATTTGAGCAAGGATGAGAATGGAGGTTTACTGGCTGCTGTGAGCCAGGAAGAGGCAGTTCCACCCAGGTCAGGACCAGGCTATGGGTGATGGATGCACCTCCTACAGCCCATGGCATCAGAGTACACCAACTGATCTCAATCTGGGCAATTGGAGGAGTAAGGGGCAATTTGGGGAAGTGAAGAAGCAAAAGCCAGATGGCAGCTGTTGGTTCACAGTACACATGGTGTCCTGCTGGACGTAGGTGGAGACCCTGTCTCTTGGCAGAAGAGAGCTCCCCAGCCAGTTAATGAGTGATGGTGCCACTCTCCAAGATGAGGAAGCTGGGGAAGGGTGAGATGAGGGGTAGCTCTTGGGAGTCTAGAGGGGTGCACCCTGGAAACGCACATGTGATGTGATGTCCCTATCTTGCCTTTCCAGCAGTGAGAGGACAGGTGCCATCTTCCTAGCGCAAAGATTTAGCTGCACACACAGGACATGGCAAGCCACCTCTATAAGACTAGAGTTACAGAGATATCAGGAAACCCCTGACTTCAAGCCCTCAGCCCTCCTTGACTTCCAAGGTGCTTCCTGCCTCCCAGGATCAGTGATGGAAAAGTCTGAAGGCAGGAAAAAGATAACCCAGGCCCCAAAGGAGGAAGCGGTTGTACAAGAGGCCACTCTCAAAGAAGAGAAAGCATCAAGCGGGAAAAGGCCCAACAAGAGACGGGCAGGGGCCAGAAAACACCACAGAGAGCCAACTCTGAGCCCTGAGGATGAAGCACATCTCTTTGATGCCTTTGATGCCTCGTTTAAAGATGACTTTGAGGGGGTGCCTGTGTTTGTTCCCTTTCAGAAGAAGAAACCCTATGAGTGCAGTGAATGCGGACGGATATTTAAGCATAAGACAGATCACATTCGCCATCAGAGAGTTCACACAGGAGAGAAGCCCTTTAAGTGTGATGAGTGTGGGAAGACCTTTCGGCACAGCTCTGATGTCACTAAACACCAGAGAATTCACACTGGTGAGAAGCCCTTTAAATGTGGGGAGTGTGGGAAGGCCTTTAACTGCGGCTCCAACCTCCTGAAACACCAGAAAACACACACAGGCGAGAAGCCCTATGAGTGTGAGGAGTGTGGAAAAGCCTTCGCCTATAGCTCCTGTCTCATCCGCCACCGGAAGCGCCACCCAAGGAAGAAGCACTGAGCAGGCAGTGGCCTGTGGCTCTCTGAGTTTGTGCTGATTCATTGTGGCTTCTCTCATTCCTGGAAGCCCCGAGGGTCATGTACAATGTACCGGGTGTGCCTCTCGCTGCCTGGCTCTGTCATCACCAGAAAAATCCACCTGTCAGGCATGTGAGCAACTAAGCCAGCCCAGGAAGTCTCTGTACCAAGACACGGTGGTAACACAGAAGCTCCCCAGATTTGTAGCTCCGCTCATTTTCTGAGATATTCCATGCCACTCGGGGCTCAGCACCAGATACACATGGCACATGCCCTGGAACAGAACAACACCCAGCAGGAGCAGCACCCACTGCTGGTGAGGGCCCAGTGCCTCCTGCTTCTGCATAAGCCCTTCTGCCAGCACATCTAGAGACTCTAGCCTATGAACAGTCAGCCCCCTGGGTCTCTGAGCCCAGCCTTATGCAGCTGAGAAAGAGCTAGGGACCTCAAGCTGGATAGCAGTGCTCTGTGGCCAGCTCAGGGAACTCTGGGTGGCACCAGTTCTCACTCATCCCTACACCGCTGGCTTCAGTGATTGTCCTGTGATTTGTTCTCTGGCTTCTATCCTTGGGCTGGATCACCATTCCCGAACTCAGGCCTTGTCCCCAGAACTGGGCCACATTGTGTGCCCTCCTGCCCTAGCTGTCAACTCAAATGAGCAGCCTGACTCACCTGGATCATCTCATCAGACAAGCTCTGTATGCCCTTGAACACTGCCACCATGGGAGATTCCTTCCCCAGACAGGAAGTGGGGCTCAGAGTGCCATCAGTCCCACCATTGGCAGCTTTGATTCACTTGATCATCAGACATAGCAGTGGCCCTGCCCCATGGTGGCCCTCCACCCAGGTTAGTGCTGTTTCCCTGTCTCCCCATGTCTATCCTACCCCAAAGCAAGTTCACATGGCTATGCCTGCCCTCAGTGTCCCAAGAGTGATTGGATGGGACTCTGCTTTGGGGCACTGGTTTGCAAGAGAGTAGCAAAGTGAGGTTGCTGACCAGGAGGGTTTTTATTTGGAGAGTCTTGGCACCTGTTTTCAACTGTTTGGACACAAAAAATTAATAATGGCCTTAGTCTTTGGGAACTCTGTCCTAAAAAAAGGGTCCCTGGCCAGAAATGGGCTTGTTCATCAAGTAGTCATAAACTGAGAAACCGGGATCCAGTCTTTACCATTACCATTGGCATCTTTCTAAAAGCTGTAATATTAAATACCCCTGTATGGGCAGCCCCAACCATCTCTCATCATGGTGTCACAGTTGTGAGGCTGCCATCCTTGAGGAATGGCCCAAGGCAAGCCTCCTTCTCACTTCAGGAGCACTCTAATCCGTATGCTTGCAGCTCTGCTTACAAAGTGCACCTCTCCTCCCTGACCACACATTGGCCAGTGGCCCAAGAAGCCCCTTGTGGCTGATAGGGGCCTGGAACATTGCCAGTGGCTATCTTGTGAAGAGGCTGCTTGGATCCCTGCTCCCTTAAGCCCATTTTCCAGATAAGTCATAAGCACCAGTCTCCCTGTGCTGTATACACACAGAGCCTAGAATAGGAAAATAAAATTCATGTAAGTCCCCAGACTAAATGAAAGTGCACTGCAGGAGTTTAGCCTCTGGCCTACTTAACTCTCTTAAGGAGAACACCCTGGAGCCCAGCCCATCACCTGGCCTCAGCCAGGTCTTACGCCATAGGATAGCACCTCAAATTCCTGGGATATTCTCAGGCCAGGTTTCCCTGGGCTGCATTCAGCTAACTACTCCAGAGAGACCTTGGTGGCACCACCTGCACCTGTAGGGGGACTTTAATGGCACCACCTCCATTGGCAGGAGGACTTCACGTAACCACCTTCTTCCACAGGGAAGAACATTCTGAGTAGAATACTTCCCACCCTAGGATCTCCTTGTTCGGTGTTGTTGGGCCCTGTCCTATCCTACCCAGGCTGGATCACCTCAGACTGCTGTACCCAAGAGAGAAAACCTTAGAGTCTCAGAAATGGAGATCGGGTCTAAGGATGTAGCTCAGTGGTGCTGCGCCTGCCTGGCAAGCACAAAGTCCTAAGTTCGATCACCCATACCAGAAAAAAAAAGAAATGGAGATTTAAAGAGGCAAAATCATGCAAAGGCAGATGTCAGCCTGTGTTGGAGACAGGCACACACACTCATGCTATTTGTGGGCCTGGTTTGGAAGAGTTGCCCACATTGCTGGCACAGCTGAAACCTGGAGCCTAACTATCCTTAGGTGGCAGGGTGGCATTGGTGCCTTAGGGGCCCTAGCCTCCTAGCCCAGGTCCTGGTTATTCATGATACATGCTAAGATTTTCAGGGGCTGGCACATAATGCTTTTAGGTGCCATTTACTTTCAAATGTTGAACAAAAACTATGACAACAATATGCATACCCTGAATGAGCCACACAGCAGATTGGCCAAGGGTCAGCCCCTCATAGACTTAGATCAGGAGTTGGCAAATGTTTTCTGTAAAGGGCCAGATAGAAAATGTTGCTGGCTTTGCAGCTGTGCAGTCTGTCAGAGCAACTTAGCTCCACCATGTGGTGAAACAGCAGTTTCAGACGGCACAGGACGTAAGAGCATGGCTATGAGCCAACTAAACTTTACAGAACTAGGCAGCAGCCATAGCTTGCCAACCCCTGTCCATACGAAGGGTGTGTGAGAGTTCAGGCTGCAGAGAGCTTCGCAAGCTTTCTACAAGTCTTAAAGTCCTCTAAAACTAAATGTTGTCCAGAAAAGCTGGTGTAGGAAGCCAGGAGCCCTATATGCAGGAAGTGAACTGGAGCCACTGGTGGCAAAGAGCTGCTCAGAGCATATCCTCCGCTGTTTGATGTGATGGGAGAATAATGGTGTGGACACAGTGACAGCCCAGAGCACTCACACATGCCCTAAGGGTGTCTGAATTTGTCTTTTTTTTTAATTGAATTATTATAGTAATAATTCCTGTTACCAGTGGGAAACATCCCTTTTAATGAGTGCAAAATAATCCATTGATTAAAAAAGTTAGAGCCAGTTTAACCATTCCCAAACCTGGACACCTTGGATGTTTCTGGTGTATATTGTTATAAATAATATCACAATAAATGTCTTTTCAACAGTTAGGACCGATTGGACAAGCCCCAGACATGGAATACCATATTGCCAAATATCTGCCCTGTGTTGGGCCACACAGACACCTGCAGCAGTGCATAGACAGCGGGCGGTGCCACGGCCCTCCAGCAGCTGGTAGGTGGGTTCTTACTTTTGCCCATTCACTGGGAGAGAAGATATGTGTTTTAACCTAATGTCCTTAATTTCTGGGGAAGAAGTGGATGGTGGAGAGCATATGCCCTCCAGCTAGAAGTCACCTCCTTGGCCTCTGCCTTTGTACCTGTGGGACCTTGGGTGCATCACTAAGCTGCCTTGTGCCTCAGTTTCCTCAGGTGTGAAATGGGATGCTGACAGTGTTCGATCCTGCAAAGCCACTGAGAATTCAGGAACTTGATGTGTGAAGTTGTCAGTACAGTACTGATGGTTTAACAAATGCCAGCATGGTGGTATACACCTGTAATCCCAGCACTCAGGAGGCTGAGGCAGGAGGATCACCACAGGTTCAAGGCTGGCCTGGACTACATAGTGAGTTCAAGGCCAACTGCAACAATATAGCAAGATTCTGGCTCAAAAAAACAAAAAAGCAAAAGAAAACAAAACAAAAAAACAAATGCCCGCACGCCTCGTGTTCACATTTTTTTCTTTTTCTTTTTTTTTTTTCTTTGGTTTTGTTTTGTTTTTGGGCTATACTGGGGATGAACCCAAGGCCTCGTGCATGTGAGGCAAGAGCTCTGCCACTGAGCCACATCCTAATGAGATCAAATACTTGTTCACATGTATGGAACGTAGGCTGCGAGCCATTGACCCTAGATGCTTCTGGGAAAAGACAGGAGCTGAATTCAACTGAACAAGCATGGAAAACAGCAAAAAGATTTTTTTTTTTAATGTATGAGGAAATTAAAAATTGTTTGTGTGTGTGTGTGTGTGTTGTTTATGTATAGTTCATAGTTCTGAGAAAAACTGCACAACTAGCCAGGTGTGGAGGTGCATGCCTATAATCCCAGCACTTGGATGGCTTAGTCAAGAGGGACACCGTAAGTGTGAGGCCAGCCTGGGCTACATAGTGAGCTCAAGGCCAGCCTTCACTATGAGACCCTTTCTCAAACAAACAAACAAAAAACTGCACAACCAAACTAGAATCAGCCTGCCATCTCCTGCTGTTGCCCTTTTGGTGCCAAGTGGCTTGTTTTCCATTTCTTCCAAGGTCACCATCATGACGTCACAGCAGTAGCATCAAGATCAAATGGGGCCGGGGACTTAGCTCAGTGGTGGCATGCTTGCCTTGAAAGCAGAAGGTCCTGAGTTCAATCCCCTGGTACCAGAAAAAAAAAAATCATCTTTTAGGTTGACAGGATTTGGGTTTTGTTGTTTAAATGAAACTCACTTTTGAGGTAAAAGAAAACTGGAATGATCTGAATTGAAGACAGAGTATAATGAAAGTTCTAGGGAGCTCAACTCAGTAGTGCTGCCACTCACCAGGACTGCTGGGTTGGGTCAGCAGAGGCCAAGGGAAACTGATGGTCTGTGTGCTGAGCCACTGCAGAAGAAGAGCTGCAAGCCAGCAACCTGAATGCCTGACTCCGAGAGGCATGAAGAGAACAAAATAAGCCCAGACTGGAAAGGAGGACTCAGTATAGCCAATGGGAATAGGAGCCATTGAGAATAAAAAATCTAAAAAAAGGGCTGGGGATTTAGCTCAGTGGTTCCTCTGCTTGCCTCACAAGTGCAAGGTCTCGAGTTTGATCTCTGATGCCAAAAAAAAAAATCTAAAAAGAGTTTGAAAGAATTACTAAAATGAATATCCTCTGACCAAATAATGGAGGAAAAGAGGAAACACAACAGGAATGAAAAGGGAGGGAAAATAACTTGAGGAATAGCATAAAGAGCCTAGTGACTTACAGAGATGCAATGGATAGTTTATTCTTTCTGAAAAAACAGGACTGGAGATTTAGCTCAGTGATTCTGCCACCTGCCTTGCAAGTGAAAGGACCAGAGTTCAATCCCCGGTACCAAAAAAAAAAAAAAGATGTGTGTCTTTCTGAAAAAACACCAAGTCCAGACAGTTTACAAGTCTTTTCAAGAAACAGCAGCTCCAGTCATACATGATCATGTGTACCAAAAAGAGAAGAACAGAAACACCCCTTATTTGAGGGAGCGAGTATGACTTTGAGGTCTAAATTACAGTTCAGTGTGACTCATGCACATAGATGCAAAAGTCCTAATCAAAACACCAGCAAACCATATTCGGCAGAACATAACAAAGACAATACAGCTAACCAAATCAGGGTTATTTAGGAAGTTTGGCTCCAGGTTGGTATAACTTACCACATTAATACACTATGGGGAGAAAGGAATACCTTATTGTCTCAGTAGCTGCAGAAAACATTAGCCAAAATCAGCATTGTCTTGGAGGCTCTAGCGAGTGCACTGAGCCAGGACTGAGTTATATTTGCTTAGAGTGGGAAACCCTAATCATCATGATTAGTAGATGATATTGTCTAGGAATCTGAAAATCCTTAACTACTGAAATTATTAGGGGGTTAGCACGGTTGTCACAGAGATGAATGTTCAAAAATCAGTTGAGACTTATATCTAAGAGAATCAGAAGCAGAGACTCAAATGGAGACTGGTGCATGGATGCTGAGAGCAGCATTGTTCACAGAGATGGTAGAGCAGACAAATGCATGCACAAAATGCAGAGTATATACAAGAGTATGCCACTGGGCTATAGAAAGGGGAAGTTTTGGTTCATGGGTAGACCATGAAAACATGATTCTTAGTAAAGTAAGCCAGACAGAAGACAAGTGTGGTGTGAGTCCACTTATGTGAGAACCTGAGAGGAGGCAAATGTGTGGAGAGAAAAGCTAGGGTAGTGGCAAACACCTGTAATCCCAGCCACTTGAGTGGCCAAGGCAGGAAGATTCCAAGTTCAAAGCCTGCCCGTATAACTTAGCAGGAGTGTATCTCAAGGGGCTGGGGATATAGTTTGTCCATAGAGCACTTGCCTAGCATGAACAAGGCCCTGGGTTCAGTCCCTAGTATTGCATGAATGAATGAATGAATTAGTAAATAATATTTAAAAGTACAAAGGAAAAAGTTGAATTTTTTTTTTTTGGTACGGGGGATCGAACTTGGGACCTTGTGCTTGTGAGGCAGGTGGTGGAACCACTGAGCTAAATCCCTGGCCCAGGTTTTTTTTTGGAGACAGGGTCTCGCTATGTAGTTCAGGCTGCCCTCAAACTCTCAGCAATCCTCCTGCCTCAGCCTCCCAAGTGGGCATGATCCACCATGCTAGGCGAAAAGTTGATGATTTTCATCATACTAAAATTCACAACTTCTAGAGAAAGGAAGGGGATGTAAAAAAGGATTAAGATATGTTATGTACATTACCAACCTCCCATATGAATGTAATTATTATGTAGTGCAAACATGTGCCGTATTAATTTTTTAAAAGCCTTCATGAATGAGGTTACTGCTCTTATAACAGAGACTTGGAAAAAAAATTTTAAATCACAACTTCTGCTCACTAAAAGAATGAGAAAATAGGTGGCTACCAGGGAAATGACACTGTGCTCCAAGAGCTGGCTATAGCAGAAAATGTGCTTTGGGGTCATAAAATTGGTTTTTTTAACCTCTGGACATACATGATGGCTGCAGACTCCACATCTGTAGATAGCCAACCTCCTGAAAGTTTCTGTAGTCATCCACTCCCCTCCCTTTCTGAAAGAGGAGGACTTGGAGATGGCAGCACCACATGCCAAAGAAGGAGCTGAGAGCCAAAGTCACCTGTGGAGACCCCAAGGCCCCTCTGTGAGGTGAGCAAGAAGGAAGCATCTGCTGTACTGGGACCAGCTGGGATCTGCTGGTCTTCATGCTAGGTTACTTGTCCTCAGCACCATAGCAGAGAGTGACTGGTATTCCCAATAGGAAGAGCCTAGAGGAATCCAGTGAGTTTGTTGTTGCTGCTGTTGTTTTTCTGTTTTGTTTTGTTTTGTGCAATACTGGGGATTGACCCCAGTGCTCTACTATTGAGCTACATCCCCAGCCATCCACTGCCCTTTGTGCTACTGAGGATTGAACCCAGGGCTCTATATCCACACTGAACTACATCCTCATAGTTTTTTATTTTTTGAGATAGAGTCTTGCTAAGTTACAGAGTTGCCCAAGCTGGACTCAAACTTGCAGTCCTCCTGCCTCAGCCCCCCAGAGTACTGGAATCCAGCACCTTTTTACTTTGAGACAAGGTCTCAATAATTTGTCCACGCTGGCCTCTATTTTGCCGTCCTCCTGCCTTAGCCACCCATGTAGCTGGGATTACAGGCATGCACTACTGCACACCAATAGAAATCCTTTTTTTTTTTAAGACACCAAATAGACAAAGATTTCACAGAGCAGAATATGAATGAATTAGTAATTAAGAATACAAGTTAAGGGCTGGGGATTTAGCTCAGTGGTTTCGCCGCCTGCTGCGCAAGCGCAAGGACCCGAGTTCGATCCCCAGTACCAAAAAAAAAAAAAAACCAAACAAGAATACAAGTTAAAATAACAAGATCAGAGTTTTTTGTGAGAGCATGATGAAATGTACAAGTCTGATTCTTCTGTGCTAGAGAGAACCTGAGCTGAGGAACTCTACCCTGGTAAAACAGTCCACACTGCTAAAACAGTCCAGTGCTGTCCAAGACAAAGATCTGATTCCCTGTTAACCCACAAGCTTCATTTATTGGTTCACCCTGGAGGAACTTTGATACATGCACCAAAAAGATGTGCACAGTAACATCCATAGTGTGCTGCTGGGTCAGGAAACACAAAGGAACTGAAGTGTCCATCGAGGTGCAGTGGTCAGTCACGGTCTGAGTGTAAAGGGAAAGTGACTCAGCAGAGAAAAGGAAGCAGCCACAGCATGTGCCAGCAGATGGACACTGAGCAGAGAAGACATGCAGCAGGATTTTAAGCACTGTAAAGTTCAAACCAAGCAGATTGAATGGCATGCTGTTGGAGCTCATACATGGCAAAGCTAGAGAGGAGCAAAAGACCCTGTGCCAGGGTGAGAGCAGGAGGGGATGCAGCTCCCAGCTGGGTGGGGATGGCTGTCAGCTCTGCTGTCGTGGTCTTCTACAAGGTTCTGTATGTTGAATGCAGCTCCTGTCCTCAAGTTTTAGAAGTAACACTTGTTTCCTTTGAGTGCTGACTGGGTCCACACTCCCACCTCCCTCTTCCTCAGGGCACCCATGGCCGAGGTCACTGGTGGAACCAGCTTCCACTTGGCTGAGGCCATTTGCTTGCTTCATAGTTTGCTTTTTCTCAACAAAGAAACAGCACCTCTGCCCATTGACTCAGCTTCTCTTTCTTTCCAGACTGCTAGCGTGGATCACCCCAGCAAGAAGCTCTGGTGAGACATGTGTACAAAGGAACCTCGAAAGCAATAGGAAAGACCCCCACAATCCCGCATTCAAGGAACGGAGAGGACCAGTGTCCATATGCAGTTCTTGAGAGGATGCAGCAGAGAGGCTGCTGGGGACCTGCACCCTGAATGGCTGTCACCGTGGGGTCAGCTTGGTGGCAGGACAGGGTGAGTGCGAGGAGGCCTTTCAGACACTGTGGGCAACTCCAGGGCCCTTCCTCTGGTTCCCAAACCAACTTTTCCTGAGTGACCAGCAGTCTTTGCTCACTATCAGCTGGTGCCACTGGATGGCCCCCAGCACTGGCTTCTGACATCAATAAGGCCACTCTGGAGAGGCAATTAAGAAACCCACTCAGTGTTCACAACCTGCTGGACATCTGAGATGTGTCCTAGGGGAAACCTGAGACCCCCTCAACTGAGCATCAGAGTTCTTGTTGCAGGAAAATGTTTAACCAAAGCTAGAAACTTCCTGGGAGTATGAGGTGTCCAAGGCAGCCAGGGCCTCTCACCTGGGCAGCATGTCCTGAGCCGCATGTCTAGCAGGCACTGTCCCCTGAGGCCTCATCCTGCAGGAAGAGCATGGCCCAGCAGGGCTGCAACTGGGCGTCACTTGCAGAGAGCCTCTGCCAGAGACCAGACTTTGAGTGTCCCTTGAACAAGTGCTCTGTGACCCTCACTTGCATCTGTTGTCCCTGAAGCCTCATCCCAGTTGGGCAGGAAGGCAGAAACCATCTCTTGGGAGAAGCAGGAGGTGAGCATGTTGGAGAGGGGCACTGTGCCCCATGGGACCAACATCTCAGGGACACAAACCCAGCTCCACAAACCTAGTGGCAGGGCCCTTGTCTGCCCTCTGTCTCCTCTTCTGCACAGGGAGGGACAGGGCTGACTAGTGACGTAGACTTGGCCCAGGCTGAGTCCACTCGTTTCCTGGCAGGCTATGGTCCCAGGGTGCACCTGAGGTTCATTTCTAGTGACCTTGCCAGTCCCTCCCAATTTGGGCACCAAGATATAATTGTTCCTGTTCTGTGAGAGTGGGCTGAGACACCAAGACATGTTGCAGAGGAAGGCAGACCTGGAGGAGGGAGGAGTCTCCTGGCCCAAGGTACACATGATTCGTGGCTTCTGGGGACACTCAAAGGAAGATAGGGTGGACTTCCAGAGGTGGTGTGGACAAGGAGCTGGGCCCCTGTGCCATTGGTCAACTGCAGGCTGGGATACTGCTCTCAGCATCAGCCTGAGCCTTCTAGAACCTGGTGCCTCAAGAGCTTGTTTGCTCTTTACTTGCTTGCTCCTCAGTCACCAGATGCATGGTCAGTACACTGAGGACAAACAGATTTTCCTCACCTTGACCAAACCTTGCTGTAGTGACACCCAGGTTGGCAATGTTGCACTGCAGATGGCTCCAGAGAAGGAGCTCTGGGACCTTCAGAGGGTTCCTGGTGCCTCTGACCCCAGCTGCCTGTCCATCCCTCATGTCAGCCTCGTTGACATGAGGTATTTCCATCTCTGCACCTCTTCCCTTTCCTGTGGTTCTAGCTCGTGGTGCGGGTGAACCTTTGGCATGTCCTTACATCCTCTCATGGGATGTGTGTCCTGCTCTTATTATGAACCGCAATGACTAGTGCATCGTGAACAACCTTTGACAGACATGGTTGTGGTCTGTGTTGTGGCAGATACTTTCCTAGTGTGATGTTTCCCGGTTACATTGTCCAAAACTTTAACTTTCCACCTCGCCAAAGTTGTTAAACTTCTACTTTCACACAATATCTCTAGTCCTTAGTAGTGTCAACACTGGGACATTCTATTTGGCATTGGTGCCACTTTGTATGTGGTTCCCACATCCTGTGGATTGTCGTGCAGGTCCCCACATTGCCTGTGGCGACCACGGTACTCATTAGCAGACACTGCCTTTTCCTGCTGCTTATGTATATTTTCTCAGAGTAAATGTCTATTTCTAACCTGCTTCCTGTGTTCCATTAATCACGAGTCCTCCAAGGAGGCTGCTGGCTTCTTCCTGCAGAGAAATATGGGCATCACTGTCTCCAGTGTCTTGGATGCTCCACTAACGAAACACACCTCCTTCCAAGTGACAAAACATCGCCCTACTTTTCTGGCCCCAGGGACACTAAGTTGAAGTTTGACCTGTTGATTCATGCCTACAGTCAGGATCCTGAGGAAGGCCTGGGAGGCATCCTGGACTCTGCCTCCAACCCTGTGCTCCATCTTATCCAGGCCTCTCTGTGCCTTTGCTCACTCACTCACCTTTTTTTTTCTTTTGGTGAGACAGGGTCTCACTATGTAGTTCAGGCTGGCCTCAAACTTGTAGCCATCCTCCTGCCTTAGCCTCCTGAGTGCTGGGTTTATGGGTGTGCACCACCACGCCCGGCTACCCTTTGTGTTCTTAACAGGGCACAGTTCTGTCCTCCAGAGGACACTTGGCAATGGGTGGGGATAACTTATCATGACTGGGAAGACCTAGTGGGTTGAACCAGGGACACTGCCAAACACCCTACAACTCACAGTCCTGACAGCAAACAAACCAGCCTCAAAGTCAGTACTGACACAGGCGAAGGATGGCGAGTTAGACCCAGAAAATTAAGTCAGCAACTGAAATATGATTCACATAGAACAGCAGAAGAACCTTCTGAGATTCTTCTGCACATTTCTGTGGTCTCTAACCCATATTTTGTCTTTTTTCTAATCCTAACTCCCTACAGCCCTAAAACTGATTTTCAAATGCACATCCATCAGGAGGCTGAGGCAGGAGGGTCACTTCAGCTCATGAGTCCAAGGCCAGTCTAGGCAACAACAGGACCCTGTTTTTTAAAAAAAAAATTGGAGCTAGGGGTATAGCTGGGTGGTAGAGCACTTAGCTAGCAGGCTCAAGGCCCTAGGTTTGAGCTCCAGCCCCGCCCCCATAAAAGCACCTCAGACCCCTCCCTCTGCTCAGACTACAATGGCTCCCTGTGCAGCTGGAATAAAGTCCAAGCTCTCCATGGTGGCTTTGAGACAGCCACTGTCCAGCATTCTGTTGCATAAACTGAGTGTGCACAGATGTTCTAATTGCAACAAAAGGGCTGGGGGTGCAGCTCAGTGGCAGAGCACTTGACTAGCATGTACAGTTCCAGGGTTCAGATCCCCAGCCATGCAAAAACAAAAGGACCCAGCCTTTTCTCTTCCATATTTAGAGAGAATAAGTCCAGGGAATGAAGTGGCGGGGGAGGGTGCTTAGTTTGTTTTTTGAGACAAGAGTCTCACTGTAGTTCAGGCTGGCCTTGAACCTTCAGCTCTTGGTATTCCTCCTGCCTCAGCTTCCCAAGTGCTGGGATTACAGGCATGTACTAGCACACATGGCAAGAAAGCGCTTTATAGATTACAGATGAGCCGGGGATTTGACTCAGTGGTTCCACTACCTGCTTTGCAAATGCAAGGTCCCAAATTCAATCCCCGGAACCAAAAAGATAAATAGAAATAGAGATGAGTCCTTTCCAGACATATACTTTGTATACTTTAGAATTTCTTACATTGTGATCCCAGCACTTGGGAAGCTGAAGCAGGAGGATCACCACAATTTCAAGCCACCTGGGCTACATAGACTCTGTCTCAAAACAAAAGACACACTCCAAACAACAGGTTCCTAAACTGAATGGGTTTCAGGGCCACCAATGTTTAGTGTAGACAACTTTGTAGTCACTGAATATCCAAGAAAAACCCTGAGTCCTGCATAAAATGTTTTCAAGTTCCATTAAATACAAAATATGGTATTATGCTCTGACTCAACTTTCAAAACCTTCCGATTTGGCTTCTTCCCACCCACCTGTCTCACCCGCAAAGTTGGCTTAGCTAGGCCTAGCCCTCCAGGTGCCTCACTCAGCAGTGATGCTAAAGATTAGGAACAGGGTCTCCCGAGTACAACCTCCATCCTGGGAAGCCAAGGTCAGGTATGTGTGCTCAGCATCGCCAATCCTCGGGAACTCCCAGAAGGTTCAGGAAACCCACTGCTGCCCTGCTGAGGAAGCCTTTGCGTTAATGCCTGAGAACTATTTGGTCAGTGTCTGCAGAGATTTCCCATACTCCTGGAGACAGCCCTCAGGTTTACCATCCACTGACTCCAGAGGCAGCCCCAGCCCTAAGAGCAGAGCAGGGGCTGAAACCGGCTTCCGCTTGCACGGCTCTCCCTTCATGGATACACAGCAAACCTGCAGATCCTGGCCCGAGCCCCTCCTGGGCTCATGGCCAACCCAGACACTTCTGCAGTGTTTACTTCTATTTGCCGACTCCAAAACTAGCCGAGTGTCCAGCTGGAGCCCGGGCAGGCTTCCTGGGGCATGAAAGGGCAGCCTCCAGAGGAAAGCCTGACCAATACCCCGGCCTCCGTGTGACTTAGCAAGGAGGGCAGAGGGACAATCTACAGCTCGCTCTCCCGCACTCGAGCCCGATCCATGTGAAGATCCTATGTTGTCTCAAGTTTGCTGTGCGCCAAAGCCCGATGGACCCTGGTGGATGCAGGAGCAGCTCAGTCCCCTGCTTCCGACCAGAGAGGTCTCCGAGGGCAGTGACCCTGCCCGGGCCGAGTCCGCTCCCCCAAAAAAGGGCTGCCATCCGAATTGTGTGGTGCGCAGGAGTCTGTAGGACGCGGTGACCGCGAAGGCCACCGAGGCGCGGTACTCCGGCGCCCAGAGCGTCCCGGAAGCGCAAGAGTCTGGGCGGGCCAGAGGGTGGGGCACTTCCGCCGGCGTGCGGGCGGCCGCTCCCGCTCGGCAGGTGAGTGGGTGCCGGTTCCGCCCGGCCAGCGCGGTCCCCTGCGGTGCGGCCCCACCTGCTGGCCGCAAGCAGCCCCTCGCCGAAGCCTTGGCCGACCCGGCGCCGCGTTGTCTCTGCAGGGCACCTCGCTCGGGACCGCAGCCATCCCCGCAGTGGGACCGAGAAAGGCCGGAGGCGCGCTGGCGAGCGGACCCCGAGATAGGGCCTCGGGCGGCGCCTCGCGGAAAAGAGGGCTGAGCAGTGCCGGCCGGGCGGGTGCGTGTGGATCCTGGGTCTGTGGCGGCTGGGCCGGGGTCCGCCACCTGCTTCGTTGCTCGGGTTGAGGGCTTACACCCAGTGCCACGCCCGCAGCCCGTGGTCGCTGGACCTGGCTCTGCGGGGGCCCGGGGCTGCCTCTCCCACCTCTTCGGAGCTGTGCTGACTCCACCTCACCGAGTGCGCGTTATCTCCTGTCTTTTCTCCCTATACCGCAGTGTGAAAGAAAACCCGCTTCTCACACTGGACTCAAGCTGTTCTTGCAAACCAAATTAATGACAAGTGTCTTTGACCAAATGAGTCTCACGGTGCTGTGAACAGGCTGGAATTGGGGGTTACAGCCTGAAGCGGTAGGCTCTGCAGGATCCGAGGAAGAAGGCTCTCCCCTCTGTAAATGTCCGTCCCTGGTTGCAGAACTTTATTCTCTAGCAGGTATAATGCAGCTTTTCACCCTCCCCCCAGACCCAGGAGTCCCCACATGTGGTACAGATTTTTCTGAAAGAATCAGCATGCTTTTCCCTGTGGGTTAGGCCATGGGTTGGAAGGACATCCAGGATCCTTTGCTGACTAGATTGGGGTCAATAAACATGTCAGGTCTTGGAATCATCTTCCGTACCTTCATAAGCCCCACACCTGCCCATGGGTTCACCTGCCCTCACCCCTGGCACCCTTGATAGGAAGAGCCTTCTGGGGCCTGGGGCTACTTGGCAGCTGGAGTGTTGTCTCCTCCCCACCACCACCACATCTCCACCCCTCATCTGCCTTGGTTTTCATTTTCCCCAGGTCCCAGGTGCATACACCTTCAGCAGGTATTGGGACGATGGCGGCCCTAGGGGACATTGAGGAGTACCCACCTGTCCCATTCCCCACCAGTCTGTCGTCTCCCGGAACACCTGGAGCCCAGCATCACGCAGCACAGCTTCATCTCCATAGCCATCCACACGGTACTTTCCTGGCCCACTGTGCCCCCTTTGCCCTGTCTGCACCCCATGGAGCTCCATCTGACCTACAGCCCCAACCCACCTGAGAGGTACCAGCAGACACTTGTGCAGCTCATTAGATGCTGGAGCCTCTGGGCAGAGCCCTAGGGATGCTTAGCCCAGAACTCTGCTTGGTGGGGGTGGAGTGGCAAGTGTGCTTTCTAGGAGACAGCCCCTGTGCTCGCTTCAGCAGCACATATACTAAAAAATAGAAGACGCCCCCTGAACTGTTCATACCATGTATAACCAGGAATGAGCCCTCCTCTCTGAAGCTATGTTCCCAGGCCAGGAAAAATGTCTAGTCTTCCTACCAGGCTAGTTTGGGTGTGGTCCCCAGGGAACCTGCCAGATGGAGCCACTGGCCTTGTTCCACCCTGATGGTATGGCCTCATTGGTCACTTGATGGAATCAAGGCTTGCGGGGAATACCAGCCCTGTTGTACCCCTGGGGCCACTGGCTCTCAGAAGCCAGGGAGTCCTGAGAGTTTGCCCCTTTGTTACGTGGGAGACCTCACTGTTTTCATGAGCTGTTGACATCAAGGACAGGGTCCCAATAGGACATGTCCTAGCAGCCTCCACTGCTGTTCTAGAGAGTGCTTTGCCCAGGAGCTGGGCCTGTTCTGTGCCAGGGTCTTCCTTGCCAGGTCCTGGTATTCCTATGCCTGAGGTAGCAGCTGCTGGAACTAAGGAGAGTGGCCACCCTCTGTACCAGGCTCTGTGTATTGACTTCCTTGGCCTTCAAGCCCAGTGACAGCCTTTCAAATGGACATCACAGATAAGAACAGAGCTCACACAGAGCTAGGGAATCACTGGGTTCATTGCAGGTCAGACCAAAATCAGAAAGGGAAGCCCCAAGCCTGTCCTGTCTGCTGCCTGGCCCCAAGACACCTCCACCCCTGCCCATCCCTGGGAGAATGCTGGGAAGGGACTTCTTAAAGTAGCCCATTAGTGTCCCAGTGGGCCGGGCTTGGGAGGGAGGTGCCTAGAAGAAGCCCAGATACCACCTGAATTTCACTGTGCTTAAGCCCTATGTGAGGCTGCTCCTACTGCCATCTCTCCTCCCTAATAGCTTCTAGACCTCTTCAGGGCCCCAGCCTGTGCCCCCAGGGCTTGCTCCCCCACCATAACTCAGTCAGAATTCTGCTGCTGCACTGTACCCTCTTATGTCACCCTCACAGCAGCCTGGTGAGATAGGTCACCCTGTCCTGCTGGCAACAGGAACATGAAGGGGCAAGGGTAGAGTCCGGGGTGGGGGATGTGGTTGCTGGTTAGGGAGATTGCACCCAAGACCTGGAGGGCCCCCCCACCCAATAAGTAGACAGCCTCTGCTGATTCCTGGTCAAGAAGGGCAGGGCCAACTCTTAGAGCCCCAAGCTTGCCTCCTCTGCAGGCTGGTTCCTTAACACAGAAGACCCCAGCGTTTTTGGAACTTGCCCAGAATTCCCTCACCAGTTGGAGGCCAATGCAGGGACTTCTTGAGGCCTCAGCCTCCCTGCTCCCAGGCCAAAGTCTGAGATGGCCAGAAGGAGGTTCTGGGGAGGCCTACCCAGGGTACCTGTGTGTGTACCAGCAGTCCACAGAGCCCACCCTCCATACATACACACACACACACATACACACACACACACACACACACACACACAATCATTTCGGGAGCCTCTTCAGCTGGGCACCTGGTGTCCTTGAAGGAGGAGCATCTGTCCTCTGGAATGGGAGTGAAAGGCACAGGGAACTGAATGAGCCAATGGTGCTCAGCAGTCCCTGTGGCCATTAGACTGGTATCCACAGCAAAGCCTGGACCATGGAGCAGGGAGGCCATGCTGGTGGTGGGTACAGGGGCAAGCAGGACATAGTCCCTCTTCCTCTGGGACCCCTCTGGCTCTGCAGATACACAGATCAGAAGCCATAGTTAGGCATGGAGTGCTGAGGGCCGGGCACAGCTCCTCTGGGACTGTGTTGTACCCTGTCAGAGGGGTAGAGGAGGACAGCAGGGCCCATTGACCAGTCTTGGAGTAGGTACAGGACCATAGGCAGTGTGAGGGATGCTGAGGTATTAAGGAGGCCAGGCCAGAGTCCACCAAGATAAAGGCCAACAGAGCACCTGCCTAAGGCTGCCCAGTCTTTGTTTGCATAAGACCTGAGGGAGGATGAGCTCTCAAAGCTGGGTCCTCAGGAGGATTTCCTGGGGCAGCTCTTGACATGAGCTGGAGAGGAAAATCCAAAAGTGGTCCTGGGGCCAGGGATTTAGCTCAGTGGTGCCACCGCCTGCCCTGCAAGCACAAGGACCAGAGTTCAATCCCCTATACCAAGAAAAACCAGTGGTCCTGGCCAAGGAGGCCAGAACAGGAGAAGCAAGTAGAGTTGAACTGCTATTCTGGGGCAAGAGGAGGTGCCAGGCAGGTGAGGAGGTATGTTGTGTGTTGAGGGCTTTGCCCAGAAGCCCCTGGGAGAGCAGGACTGTCTTCTAGAAAGGAGGGGCGTGGAGGGGGTACTGTGAAGAATGGGGCATGAGCCACAGCCCCCTGTCCCCAGGGTCCCCCTATTCCAGTCCCGAGGTGCACTCCCAGCCATCAGACCTGGACCTCCAGGATGTAGAGGAAGTGGAGATCGGCAGGGATGCATGGCCTGGTAAGTCAACTGGGCTCACCCAGGCCCTCCTGGAGCCCTTGCCTGGACTCAGCACTGAATGCTTTTCTCAGCACTGTTTAGCCAGGCTCTGGACACCTGCAGGGGTGGGTGGGGGTTGGCGGATTGCTGGACTTCCCCAGTGCTACTCAGGCCCCTTCAGGTCCCTGGTTGCAATGCACATCTGTCCCCAGGAGGTTCCAGGTAGGCAAGGGAGTAGGGCTCCAGTACTATTGCCACCAGGGCCAGATCCATGGAACTGGCATGGGCCCCTGGCCCCCATCTCCCTCAGCCTGCAGGACCACTTTTGAGAGCCTTTGAAATTCCAGATCCTTGCTAGCTCTCTCTGCTAACCCTGGAAATTCCTTCTCCCAGCTAAGAAGGTCACACCACAGGTCTCCTTAACCACTGTGTCTCCAGTGCCCGGTGGGACCCAGCACACAGGCTCAGGCTGCCAGCTGCTGGGAGTGGTGGGGGTGCTGCTCCCCACCTTGTGGAGCAAGCCATTCATCCAAGTCAATGCCTGGCACCCTTCTCCTCCTCCCCAGTCAGGCGTGGCCCTGCTCTGCTATCACATAGTCCCAGTCCCTAGAGTGCCACAGTAGAACTGGGGGCTGGGTGGCATCTGCCTCTGCCATTTCTCCTTTCAGACTCTGAGTTGGAGCCCGAGCAGGTTCCATCATCTCACCACCTCCACAGTCCAGAAGACAGGGTAGACCCGGATGGCCAAGTGCTGAGGGGTCTCCTGAGGAGCCGCCCCCACAGGCCCAAGTGTGAGAGTAGCTTTGGGCAGGATCTTGGCTTGGAGCCCCCGGGAGCCCTGCCTTGCCCTCCACAGAGGGGCACCTGCCGTGTGGTGCTCCTGCCTCAGGGAGCCCCAGGAACCGAGGGTGCTCCTGCCCGGGCCACAGAGCTGGGGGACAGCTTGGGCCGTAGTCCCCAACAGGCCAGCCCCCGGGGTCCCAAGCCACATCACTGCGAGGCCTGCGGCAAGAGCTTCAAGTACAACTCGCTGCTGCTGAAGCACCAGCGCATTCACACAGGTGAGAAGCCCTATGCCTGCCATGAGTGTGGCAAGCGTTTCCGAGGCTGGTCTGGCTTCATCCAGCACCACCGAATCCACACGGGCGAGAAGCCCTACGAATGTGGCCAGTGCGGCCGTGCCTTCAGCCACAGCTCGCACTTCACACAGCACCTGCGCATCCATAACGGTGAGAAGCCCTACAAGTGTGGTGAGTGCGGCCAGGCTTTCAGCCAGAGCTCCAACCTGGTGCGCCACCAGCGGCTGCACACGGGCGAGAAGCCCTACGCTTGCAGCCAATGCGGCAAAGCCTTCATCTGGAGCTCCGTGCTCATAGAGCACCAGCGCATCCACACTGGCGAGAAGCCTTATGAGTGCGCTGACTGTGGCAAGGCCTTCCGCGGCCGCTCGCACTTCTTCCGCCACCTGCGGACCCACACGGGCGAGAAGCCCTTTGCCTGCGGAGCGTGCGGCAAAGCCTTCGGCCAGAGTTCACAGCTCATCCAGCACCAGCGCGTGCACTACCGCGAGTAGCCTTGGCCCCAATAAAGTCTCTGGATGGAAAAGGAGCCGGCTCCTACTGAGCAAGGCGGCAGCTTCTCATCCCTGCAGGCTACTGCAGGTGGATTTTCATTCTCCTGGGGTGGCAGGCACCTGGAGAATCCCCAGGGAGGAGTCTAAGGCCAGAGCAGTGCTGGCAGCCCAGAGTAGTCGGGCCTGTCCAGATCAGAGATGCTGTGGGATGGAAATCCTAAGGGGACCACCTGGAGCGGGGTTGAGGACAAGGCTGGCTTGTCTAGAGATGCCTACATTCTTCTGGGCCACATCTGCAGCCTAGCCACAAGACTTCCTGTCCACCCTGGCCATGGGAGTCTCTGGCAATTGGGCTCCCTCACACAGCTGCTTCCAGTACCTCCTAAGTGCAGCACATTCTCCCCTCACAGCCCTCAGACCTGTTTGCTCCCTCACCCCTGGCTTAGCAAGTAGCAAGGCCAGCAGGCTTCTGTGGGAGGATCCCCCATCCAGTATTCTCCATGCCCAGCCTCCCGAGTGCCCCTGCTCTGGGAAGCTGGGGACCTGGGTCCAGGGCTGCTTAGGGAACATATGGATCTGTCCTGGGAGTCCTACAGGTGGCTCTAGCTCTTGGCCACTGTGCAGAGAAGAGCTCACTTGGGTCAGTAAAGCCAGAATTAAGTAAGGGGGGGTCACACCACCCTCCCTGTTCTAGCTCTTCCCTCCAGGTCAGCTGGGGGGCTGCCCAGCTGCTCTTCAGCTCTCCAAATCTGTCTTCCCCCATCTTATGGGGGGTTATGAGGTTATTGCTGAAGCAAGTGGTCCACTGTGCAGCAGGGTCATCAGCCCCCAGCAAGCCTGTTTCCCAGAGAAGCAGCTGCTACCCACCTGTTCTTTCCTTTAGTAACACACTTGGGGTGGGCTCTGTGGGGATCACCAGTGGGTGTCCAGGCAGGACTCAGCTGGCAATGACTGGGCCTGGCAGGTGAACTGAGAGAAAACCCAGAGGTCCTCTGCACAGTCCAGACTCTCCTGGACTTGAGCACCCTATTAAGAGAAGCCAGGAACGCTGCTGCTGCTCCAAGCCCCCCAGCTGCTAGCACACATCAGGAGAGGCTTCCCAGAGGAGAGGTTCCTAACAGGCAAGGCAGCTCCCCTGCACTGGGTTAAAACCCTCAGCAAAGTCTGTGTCCTTTCATGTTGGCAGGACCCATCAAGATCATAGTTTTGTCTCCCCTGGTATGCTTGGCTCCTTCCTAGGGTCCAGCCTCAGTATGATTCTCCAGCATTCTACCCAATCCACTAGGTCCTTCCCAGGAACCCAGAACAGCCTGGCAGTATCCACATGGACTCTTATAGGCTTTCTTTTTCTTGTTTTGTCCACCCAGGCTTGTCAACATCCAGCTAAACAGGACTGAGTCCCCAGGGGGAGGGCATTGCAACTTTATCGTGCTCCTTGTAGGGCATGCCCCTCCTCCGTCACTTTACATTGCAAGAAGCATCCTGCCCAGGCTGCCGGCCCCAGGCTGGCTCTGCATTGTCACCCAGAGCATCACTAGGTGGACAGCCACACTCTGACCCCACAGGCTGGGTTCTTGGTCTTCAGCCTCTCTCTTCCACAGTGACCATGGTCTTCAGAGATATGAGTGGTCTCCAGAAGCTCAAAATTGGGCTCAGCATTTGCTTAGTATGGCATTTGTTCTTCATGGAACCTGTTTCCATCTCTGGAAAAGGGGATGGCACAGGCCTGTTGGCCAGCATGGGATAGTTGAAAAGATGGCCAGTATAGAACTCCTTGCATGCTGCCAGGCATCCATGCACTGGTCTGGAATGTCTTGGTCCACAACCCAGGGAGGAGGAAGAGAATATCTTGCACCTTATCAGAAGGCCAAGTGGCCACAACAAAGTAAAGACCATTGGGTGGGAAGCAGCATGGGACCAGGAAGAGGGGTGCCTGTGAGTTTGAAAAACAGAAAGTTACCATTTGTAACTATCTGCATTTGGCCCCAAGGGGAAAGAAAGGTCTTAGAAGGCACTGAGCCCTAAAGTCCAGGGACCAAAGGGAAGGGAAGTCTGTGAGCTGACTGAATCTTGGTCAGGGTCTTCCAGAACAACCCAATCCTAGAGTGTGAAGACACAGTGACAGGAAAGGTAGATGAATCCTGTGTGGCATAGAGTGCAACTTCTTGGTGACTTACACAAGTATGGTCTTGGGCAGCAGCAAGAACAGTGGATCCCCACAATTTGGATCAGAAAAAGGCATATTTATGGGTTAAGATAGAAGTCCTATCTGGAGTATACATGGTTTATGATAATATCAAAGTCAGGTACATACTTGGAGCCAGGGCCTGGCTGTCACCAAATGTAATAGGTTCACCCCTTGGTGAATATAAAGCCAGGAAACACAACCAAGAGATTTTAAAAAATGAAGAGAGATTTATTACAACAAGTAAGATGCTCGTGGGATAATTCTCAAAGAAGTGTCTCCCCAAGTAAAGGAAATAAGAGCTATCATTAGAAAAACATATCAGAAAAAAATCATTACATGCTCATTCTGCTCATATGTTCAATAACGGCAGAGAATTTAGTTATAAGCAAAGTTTATGACTTGGGGATTTTAGCTGGGTCCTTTTAAGAGTTTTTTGAAGGGTCTTAGCTGAAGAAAAATAAGCTTAATGGAGGTTTAGCAGTCAGTTAAGGGAGCAGCACCCACCCAAAGCATAGATAATTGTCCTCTAAAAATATCTACCTGGCAGCCAACAATACCATTCCAATGATTTTGTCTATTATAGTTTGTTGGGGAACATGCAGAAAAAACCAATAGGGTAGGGCCGGGGATTTAGCTCCGTGGTTCCAGCACCTGCCTTGCAAGTGCAAGGTCCCGAGTTCAATCCCTGGTACCAAAAAAAAAAAATCAATAGGGTTGCTCTGGGGCATTCACGGGGGTTAGGAGTCAAGATGGCTGTAGTTATGTCAAGCTGAATCCATCCAGAGGGCTTTGTGTGCAGGGCCTGGGCAGGCTGAATGCAACTGTGAGAAAACAAAGGGCAAGATTGATCTTGGGTTTAGAGATTTTCCTACTGTGTCCAGGGTTTTTATTTTTACATAAATATACATGGTATGGTGGAATGGCTAAGGAATTTCAGAACTTAAAGCCCAGCTCTACTCTTAACTATGAGATAGATGAGTGTTAATCATTGCTCTGAATCCATTTCTTGAATAGTAAGATGATGTAAAATGGTCCTTCAGTGTTTTGAGAGCCCCTAAATGAATTGGGATTTCAGTTCCAAAGCAGCTAGCAACCCTGCCTTACTGGGAATTGAGGGGCCTGTTGAGGGTGTTGACAGTGTGTCTCATGGGATACTTCCTTCACCTGGCAGGTAGCCTCGTGTCTAGTTGTCCCACCTGTGACCAGGGCTCCCTCACGTTGGAAACACATATGCTGGCAGACACCCTAGTGGCTCCTGTCAGGTCTGTGTCCAGTTTATGGGAGACGTGTCCATCCCCCACCCCGGCAGCCCCCTTCTAACCACTGGGTCCCTCCAAGGTAGCTGGAGGATGGGAGGACTGGCCTCCTGCCAGACAGTAACATGTCGCCCCAGTCCAGGCCAGTGCCGCCATATTTTCTGGACCACTCCCCACACCGTGGTCTTAACAAAGTGGAATCAGGTCCCTCTGTCTTGCCGAGGCCCTTCTTGTGGTCCCCATGTAGCCCTTGCTCTTCCTCAGGCCGCCCCACGCCGAGTCCGTCCAGCACCACGGACAGCTCCGGGCGGGCTGGGCCTGAAGACAGGACAGGGCTGGACGCGAAGGAAGGCCGCCCTGGGCTCGCCCGAGACCCGCGCCTCCCCACCCAGTCCCTGAGCGGGTCTCCCCGCTGGTCCCCGAGCTGGCCCCTGAGTGGATCCCTCGAGTCAGTCGGTCCTATAAGCAGGTGGGTAGCCTAAGCAGGTCCTCCGAGGTTCCTAGAGCGCCCGGAAGTGCTCGCGGGGCGGGGCCTGCGGCGCCGGACGGACCGCCTCGGGTTCAGGTCAGCGGGTACAGGCGAGGGTGTGTCACTGCTGTCTGAGGGGACCCGACCCCGGTGGCTGTGGCCTTTCTCTTGGTCCCCCCGGGTCCCCCCCCCCCGGCGCCGGACTCACTCCCTGCTGTGGCGGGCTGGGCCTTTGGGGTCCCAGAGATCCCTCAGCATCCGCGCCCCGTGACTTCCCAAGCCATGCCCGCCGTAGGAAGGAGGGAAAGTCCCTGGAAAGGCTGAGTGTCCTGTCCAAAGGCTTATTGTGGAGTGTCGCGACAGACCGTTTTAAGCCTGGGCGTCACCTTAACACAGCATTTGTACCCTCACCTTGGCCGAAGAATGGCCGGAATGCTCCTGCTGTTGAGGCCAGAAGTGTCACACCTTTCTGGACTTTGCCGGGACTAGGGTCCGTGGCCCTTCAGCTGTCTGTCCCCTGAGCCGGGCTGTGTGCACCTGAGGAGAGCATCTAGGCTCTCGGAGTGATGGCGAACCCTTTAGAGCTTTCAATGATACAAACAGCCTGTTGCCATATGTGCCATAGATTCATCACAACTAAGCTCTAAGCACGGTCCACACCTACCGAGATAGATTTCTGTACCTCAGAATCTCTCTTGAGTTTAGAAAGTTCATCCCAGCTGTAGCAGCTCTGGCCCCTACTGTGACCTTGCCTCCCGGCTCAACTGTGAAGGGGATGGACATGGCCAGCTTCTCTTTCAGGAGCCGGGATCCAAGTACTTCCTTCTGGAGCCTTGTTCTTTGTCCCATGGGCTATAAGCTCTGATCCTCATGTCACCCATTGTTCAGTTCAGCCTTCTTGAGCTCTGCCATCTCCACCCACACCCATATCCCCTGTCCTGCTGTGGGGTACCTGGCCAGGAAAAATTGAAGTCAAGTCCTTAAAGAGCACATGTTTTTAACAGATTTCTTTTTCAATAAGAGCTTTTTTTTTCTCATCAACAACTATAAGGGAGTGTTTGTCCACATTTTCAGGTAATTCTTGCTTTAAAAACAAGTGGACTGCAAGCACAAGGTCCCAAG